CTTATCACAGTTTACTGGTTGTCATTTTACCAGTTCAAGAGAAGGGTTGAAAACCTTCCTCCCTTTACTCTCCCCCATTTATATTGTCTTAAATATTTCCTCTACATACATTTTGAACTATATCAGACAGTATTATAATTTTGGATTCAACCGTGAAACATAATTTAGAAAACTAAATTCTAAAAAGGAAAAGGAAAGTCTATTGTGATTACCCATATTTTTGTTTACTGTGTTCTTCCTTCTGTCCTGATGTTCCAAGATTCCTTTTTTTATTGATTCCTTTCTGTTTGGAGAACTCCCTTTAGCCTTTTTTTTTTAATTTTTTTTTTTAGGGTAGGCCTACTGGCAGCCAATTTCTTCCAGGAGGATATTTTCACTGGACATAGAATTCTGGGTTAATTTTTCTTTTCTTTCACCACTGGGTTAATTTTTCTTTTCTTTCACCATTTTCTTCTGACATCCATGGTTTCTGATGAGAAATCTACTCTCATTCAGATAGTTATTGCCCTATGGGTAATGTGTCATTTCTTTCTTGCTGCTTTTAAGATCTTTTCCTTCTTTTTAGTTTTCAGAAATTTGACTGTGTCTTTTGGTATAAATTTTTTGTTTGTTTGTTTATCTTGCTTTGGATTTGTTTGACTTCTTGAATCTCTGGGTCTCTATCTTTTGCCACATTTGGAAAGTCTTCTCCTCTCCTTCTGGAATTCCAGTGACACAAATATTAGATCTCTTGGTATTGTCCAACAGGTCCCTGAGCCTCTGTTAATTTTTACACTCTGTTTTCTCTCTTTTGCTCAAATTGGGTACATAATTGCTATTGTTCTATCTTCTAGTTCCCTGACTCTTTGTCTTCCTGTTGTTGAGCTCATCTACTGTTTTTCATTTCAATGATTGCATTTTTAATTTGTAAAAATTCCATTGGTATTCCTTTATATTTCTTTATTTCCTTGCTGCCACTTTACATTTCTTTTCTGAGAATATTTTTTCTTTTGTTTCAAGCATGTTTATAATTGCTCATTGAGGCATTTTTCAGTCCACTTAAAAATCATTCTCAGATATTTCCAACATCTCTTTCATCTTGGTGTTGGCATCTTTTAATAGTCTATTTTACTCACTTCGATATCTTTCTAGTTGTTGTTATGACCCAGGTAGTACCTTCCTAGATGTGCCTGTACCCAAAAGGAACTCTTGCTCAAGTGCATGAGGAGATGTATTCAAGAATGCTTATAGCGGTATTATTATGGTAACAAAACTCTTGGAGCAACCCAAAAGTCAATCAACATTAAAATGAATTTAAAGGTGAAGGTGTATTTATATAGTGGAATACTGTAGAGTGATGTAAATGAATGAACTGCATTAACATGGATGAATTCAATACCATAATGATTGAAAAAAGCAAGCCCACAGATGATCCATACTACATGAATCCATTTATATAAATTTCAAAGACAGACAAAAATCAAACAATGTATTATTTAGCTATATATGTATATCTGATATAATTACAAAGAATAACAAGTAATTAATTAAAAATTCAGGATAGTGGTTGATTATAATGAGGGTGGAATATGTTATCATGGAGGCACACAGGGATTTCCAAGGTCTTGGTATTGTTCTAATTCTTAAGCTGGGTGATGAACATTTTATTATTTTTATTTTAAACTGCACATATACATTGTATACACTTTTTGGAATGTTTAATAGATTTCAAAATTGAAAAAAATAAAAACAAAAAAGTAATGTCTTTAGGGTCAGGCTGCCTGGACTCAAATCCTGATTCCACCACTTACTAGCTAGGTAGCCTTGGGCAAGTTACTTTAATTCTGTATGTCCAGTTTGTTCATCTCTAAAATTGGCATACCAATTGTACCATTATTTTGAGGATTAAATGAGATATGTGTAAAGAATTTAGAAAACAGTAAGGTGCATAGAAATTGTATAATAGTAATAATAATAATACATTGTATGTAACATATAATTTTAATAATTATTAGTTTCCCTCCAAACCTTCCTTCAAAAACATTAAGGCTCATTTCTAAAGAAATAAAAGAAAATTTTTTGGAGAACACTAGGATATTTATTCCTGACACTTGCCGGGCCACATCCTGAAAAGAGTTCTTTGCCCATTCATCACAATGCCCCTTAAAGTAAAGTCTGATATTTTATAAACCTGGCTCTGCACTACCTCACATGGAGCACCATGTCAAAATTTCCACTCAGGACAGAAACTTGGGTGCAGACCACCTTATCACACAAAAGCAGAGAAGACTTGGGACTTCCCTGGTAGTCCAGTGGTTAACACTTCACCTTCCAATGCAGGGGATGCAGGTTTGATCCCTGGTCAGGGAGCTAAGAACCCACATGCCTCACAGCCGAGAAACCAAAACATAAAACAGAAGCAATACTGTAACAAATTCAATAAAGAACTTAAAAATGGTCCACATCAAAAAAAATCTTGAATAAAAACAAAGCAGAGAAGAGAAAACAGCAATTGCTACACACCAGCTACTCAGTTTCTTTTTCTTACATATGAACAGATAATCTATCACCAGACATATGAAAACCACAAATGACACAGAAACACAAAAAGAGAAATGCAATCTCCAGGAAACAGATCATTCAGGAAATAAAGTGAACTTTGAAAATCCCAAGTGCTACTATGGAAAAGACACAATGAGATAATAAGAAAACTCTTCGGGATTTAAATATGCCACTAAAATTAAAAATTCAAAAAAAAAATTCAATAAAAATACTCAAAATAAAATGAGGGACTAACTCTAAGTTAGGATATAGAGGAAAAACCAAAGATGTAAAAGAGAAATATAAGAAAGATAGAGAAACAATTTAACATGTTTAATATCCAACAAGTACAAGTCTCAGACAAACATAACAAGCTAAAGTTAGGAATACAATTATTAAGGAAATAATACTAGAGATGAAAAAATCCCAGATATGAAAAGGCACGAATTGTTAGAATGTATAAAACATTGAATGACATAAGTAACATGTAAGACATTTATGAAGTGGAAGTGAAAACTAAATGCATTTTCAGATATGCAGAGACAGAGAAAGTTTATTTTTGTGCACTCTCTCTTAAGAAGCCACTAGAGGATATACTGTAGCAAAGAGAAGGAATTAAAAAAAAAAAAGGAGAAGGAAAGAAGGAGACTTTCTTGAACCCTACCGCAATCACCTAACATAAGCCCAAATCCTCTAACTCCTTTGTAGGGCACTGTTACTTAGTTGACCCATGGTTCCCCATGGTGTGCAGTCTCCCTCATTATAAGTCAGTAAACCCACCTTTACTGACTATAATGTTCTGATATAATGTGTTCCTGGTGATCTTTACCTGCAGGGCATTCATAATTTATATGGTCATTAAAAGTAAAATTTTAACATTGCTTTTCAGGTTTTAAAACATCTATAGACAAACAAGGAATTCTTAGCTACAGTTGTAGAATGGGTCATTAACCCTAACTATATAAAAGTAAAAGCGCATTTTTGAGAGGTTTGAAAGTATAAGGGAAAAACAAGTAACAGGAAAAATAAGAATTCTATTAGTTTCTTTCATCCAAGAAAATCAAAAGAAACTGTTGTTAGTGGAACAATAAATGGAGCTTCCAGTTTGAGCAGAGAAGTAACAGAAAATAGTGAGACAACTATATGTGAAGGATGTATGAGAGAAATTTTAAGTACCAGATACCAAACAACAATAGCATGAAATTAATTGTTTAAAGTTTACGAAAAAGTTACAAACATATTCTTTAGTGATAAGAAAGTGTTTAAAAAGTTAGAAAATGAAGGTTTAAAAGTGCTTTCCAAAGGGATAAAATGAAAAACAGATAATACCAGGTGTTGGCAGGAATGCTGAGGAACTGGTATATCCAGACACTGCTGAAAGCAATGTAAACTGGGACAACCACTTTGGAAAACGATTTGGAAATATCTACTAAAAGTGGACATGCACTTACTAAATGAGTAGCAATTCCACCCTTAGGTATATGCCCAACAGAAATGCATATACATGTTTGTTGAAGGACATGTAAGAGAATGTTTATAGCAGCATTATTCAAACAGCCAAACGTTGCACCAACCCCAATATCCACATACAGTAAGATGGGTTATAAATTGTGACATATTCATACAGTGGAATACTATACAGCAACAAGAATGAAGAACTAAAATTAAAAGCAGTATCACGGATAAATGTCATAAACATATTGTTGAGAAGCCAGATGCAAAACAGTTCACACTCTACTATTCCATTTATATAAATTCAAAACAGGCAAAACTGAACTATAGTATTGGAAGTTGAGATATTTGTTATACTTGAGCTGGTAGTGATTTTAAGGGGTTATTTGTGTGGCACCTGGGATGCTAATAATGTTTCGTTTCTTCAAGATGCTGATACCAAGTATGTTCACTTTCTGAAAATACACTGAGCTGTGTTAAGGATTTTTCACTTTTCTGTATGTATGTTATAATTGAAATAAAATATTCATTTAAAGAATTATTTGCCAGTAGGATGAGAGCTAGGAAAGAAGTGTAAATAGAAGTGTTGGTTTTCATCATGCTTTCTCACGTATTATATTTGTTATATGAATGTATTCCTTTGCAAACAAAATGAATATTTAAACATTTTAAATTTTTGCTATTTAGCATCAAATAACTTAGAGCGTGATGAAACAGAATGAATATAGAGAAAACAATATTTTATTAAAACAGTTCATTGCAACAAGTACCAACGGAAGGAGCAAAAATTTCAGGAAAATCAACAGCATGCAAGGATTTGGAATGGCACACTATAAATAAATGCAATGACAACAGAATTTAGTTTTCAAAAATTGGACAAGGGAAAGTTAAATGGACTAATTCATTACAAAAAGGAAATCAAGGCTATATCGGAAGATGGAATTTTTCTCCATGACGCCTTCAAATTCGGTATCTGGGGAAATTAGAGATAAATGACAAATACCTTGCATCATGATGAGATCCCTAACTGAATCCAGAGCTATTCCGGAAGTTGGCGTTTTCCTCTATTTCTTCACCAGCGCCCTGGGTCGGGAGGTTGGGGAGAATCGGCTTCAAGAATTTAAACTCATTTAACCCGGAGCCTCCCGTCAGACACACCTCGTACTG